AAGGCCAAGGTAGGTGAATCACCGGAGGTCAGGAGTTCGAGACCAGCCTAACATGGTAAGCCCATCTTTACTAAAAATACAGAAATTAGCCAGGTGTGGTGGTGCATGCCTGTAATCCCAGCTACTTGGGAGGCTGAGGAAGGAGAATTGCTTGAACCTGGGAGGTGGAGGTTGCAGTGAGCCAAGTTCCATGCCATTGCACTCCAGCCTGGGTAACAAGAGCAAAACTTCATCTCAAAAAAAAAAAAAAGAAACCAAGTTTACAAGGCAATTGGAACATACTACTCCCAAAACACTACTTTCTTTTTGGTTGTTTTCTGTCTGCCACACGGAGCGGTGGCATTACTGATGCCTCTTTTCACCACTTAGGTTCTCTATATCGGTTTTCTCACCTGTAAAATGGGGACACGGTAACTACAACTGGCTTTCCATATCAGTGGATTCCACAGCGCTGACTACAGGACTTGAGTACGCCTTGACTTGGTATTCGTGGGGGTCCTGAAATCACCACCCTCTACAGGACCCCCGGAATCAATTCCCCGAGGATAAGCAGGGACAAACGTACCTATTTCAAAGCATTGTTGTGATGAAGTGAAATCATTCCCATAAAACTGTCTGGCACAAAATCAGTAACAAGCACATACTGAATAGTAATGTTACTAAGAACATGTATGTGTCTGTTAAAAACCAAACAGCAGCATATATTTTATGTAGGAGGGGGGTGGTTTTAAAAAGCTGACATGGCCTAAGACATAAGACCTAGATATCACTCACAATGAAGTATTTTCTATATATATAATATACAACCATTTCTAGAAACCACAAGATTGTCAAACTTAACAGATCTGCTTCCATGGGTTTGGTAGCTAAACACTAGCCTCAAACTGGCCTTTTAGAGTTATATTTTATTTCAACCTAGTTACCTAGTTGTTTAATTAGAATCATCATAAACCAACCTAATTTCATAGATAAACAAAAAGTCTGAGTGAAACTAATTTGTTCAAAGTGACACGGCTGGATCCTTATCTTCTGTCTACTATTGAAAAGTTAATTTCAGAAGGCCATGTTTTCTCTTTATATAATTACAGATATTCCTTTTGTCACTCAAAACTCAATTCCATCTCTCCTTGCTCCAAACACAAAGACTACTCTCAGACTTCAAAACCCTCACTGACGAGCTAATCCCTCCGTCTGAAATGCATTTCTCTATTGCACTGTGAATTTCTCTGACAATCCTTCAATCATGTCCTCAGGGAAATTGTCCTGACCCCTCACAGTAAGTTGAATACCTAGTCACTGAAGCCGGTGATGTCCTGTACTTCCTCTTTGCCTAAGATTCATCATATCTGAATTATTATTATTATTATTATTATTATTTTGTAGAAACAGGGTCTCGCCATGTTGCCCAGGCTGGCCTCAAACTCCTGGCCTCAAACAGTCCTCCTGCCTCAGCCTCTTTATTATTTTTATAATATTTGTCTTCCTCAATACAGTTAGCTCTGTTCAGTCAGGATTCCAGCACATAACCTAGTATCAAGAATCCACAATCACGCTCATGATGAGCAAACTGAAAAAAAAAAAAAAATCCACAATCATTTGGCTGACAGAGACACATCTAGACCAATTAGAGAAACAGACATATGGGTGACAGCTCTAAGACTTTTGATATAATTAGTTAATATGAGCAGAATAACATCAACTGACATTTAAATTAAAAAATTAGGCTGAACTTTTTTTCCTTCAATAGTCACTATTTCAATAATCATATCATGACTTTTAGGTCCATCCAGCTTTCAATTACTGTTCAATACCAGTTCATATACCCCTGGGTAACATTTAAAGGCTCATGTAAACTTAATAGTTCCCTTTTCTCTGTTTCCATTACCTGTACGTATCTATCTTTACCACTGCATCTTTCTGCCTGAAAGGTCACAAACCTGTGAGCTGGGTGAGCAATCAACCATTTTATGTTCCATAATGCCACTATCCCATTCCATAGCACCAGCATCCCTACATGGGGTAACTGAAATAGCCTTCTAAGTGGTTTTCCTCCTTCTCAACCTTACTTTCACCCCCAGGCAAAGTCAGCTTTGTACCATGTCACCTCCACTTACAGAGTCTGTAATAACTTCTCTGTTCACTTAAGATAAAATCTCCTTCTCTAGCCTACAAAGCCCCACACATTTACCCTCTCCCACATTACCTCCTTGCTCACTATAGCACATCTGCCTCATTTCAGTTCCTTTAAGAGCTCAAGCTCCTTTCCCGTTTCAGGGCATTTACACATGCTGTTCCCTCTGTCTACAACTCTCCTTATTCCTCAATCTTCAAATAGCTGGCTATTTTTAGTCTTCCAGTCTCAAAAATCACCCCAAGAACAAGCCTTTCATGTTTCCTGACTACTCAATTTCAAGTCTTATTCTTTCCTTCACCCTTTTAAAAATACAATTCCTTAGTAAGAGAATTTATTAGCAGGCACCAATTTGTTTACTCATTTATTGTCAATGCCCCAACCAAACGCAGTCCACAAGAACTGTTTCATCCTGTATGGTCTCTAGTCCCTTCCACCTTTAGTTTAATTCTGATTACAACAGGCTAGAAACAAGTATTTTCTTTCTTTTTTTTTTTTTTGAGATGGAGTTTTGCTCTTGTTACCCAGGCTGGAGTGCAATGGCGCGACCTCGGCTCACCGCAACCTCCACCTCCTGGGATCAGGCAATTCTCCTGCCTCAGCCTCCTGAGTAGCTGGGATTACAGGCACATGCCACCGTGCCCAGCTAATTTTTTTTTTGCATTTTTAGTAGAGACGGGGTTTCACCATGTTGACCAGGATGGTCTCGAACTCTTGACCTCGTGATCCACCTGCCTCGGCCTCCCAGAGTGCTGGGATTACAGTATTTTCTTTTTATCTAAAACAGTTGAATCCACTATGCTAAAAACATAAGTTTCATTTTCAAAAAATTTTTTTTTCGATATGGGTATCACTTTGTGACCCAGGCTGGAGTGCAGGGGCAGAATCACAGCTCACTGCATCCTAAACTCTCGGGCTCAAGTGCTCCTCTAGCTGTCAGTCTCCCAAATAGCTTGGATTACAGGCATATGCCTAGCTAATTTTTTTAATGTTTTCAGAGATAGGGTCTTGCTGTGTTACCCAGGCTAGTCTTGAACTCCTGGGCTAAAGTAATCCTTCTGCCTCAGCCTCCCAAGTAGCTGGGATTACAGATGTGAGTCACCCGGTCTGGCCAAAAGTTTAATAAAGAAATCTGTTATCAAAAAAAAAAAAAAAAAGATTCAGTCCCTCAGAGTATATGGTTGTTTTATGTTTCCGCTCCACTAGAATTACACTTTCTTCGAGATAAAAGACCACATTTGCAGGCTATGCAACATGGCAAGACCCCGTGTCTAAAAAAGGAAAAAAAGGAAAAAAATACTGAGGCAGGATGATCCCTTGAGCCCAAGAGCTGGAGGCTGCCAAGTCTGTCTCTAAAAGAGGGAGCACATTTGTTTTCTGCACAAATATGAACAGTGACTACACAATGCACACACTATTGTCATATATGAGACTTTTATTGCATAATGAATCTCGTTCAAAGGTTACAAAAAAACTTATTACATGCACTCACTGCTTATCGAAAACTGCCAACAAAAAAAGCACTTTTGGAATTTAAGACATTATCTAATGGAAGGTGAATTAGTTTTCGTTATCAGAAAAAAAAACCCAGGTTGAATGTCAACTCAACTACTCATCGATGACCTTAGACAAGTTATTTAATTTGTGCAAGCTGGTTTTGGTTCATCTGTAAGAAGCTGAGATAACACTGATTACAGCAGTGCAAAGAGATGGAATAGGTTAAGGTTAAGTTGCACCTACACACAAAGTACTCAACAAGTTAGATCCCGCCTGCCTTCAGTTGTCAGGAGTACATTTGAAGTAAACTGGGCATTACTGATCCTCAAGAACATGGTTAAATCAGAAAACTTTCCAAGTCAACTTTTAAAAGTCTTCAGTGATGGTTTTCTCACACTGGGAGCCACGGTTCGCTTCAATTGTATTTTGGAAAGTAAACTCATTCTAATCCTCTGTACTACAACAGAAAAGTCTACGATCTCGTTCAACGTAAATATCCCCCTCCCACATTCCCCCACCTCAAAAACAGGCCCAAACGTAAACTGTTGCCTCATTGTTAGGCGTTCACAAAAAAGTGATAGACAAGCGCTTTCGGTTTTTAGTCCTTATGTTTCTAATTGGTACATTGCAGAAACCGAAAGCGGGAGGTTTTAAAAGACACTAGTGCCAAATGGAGGCCAAGACTCCGACTTAACTGTAAAGCTGAGAGTTCTCCAAGAAAAGGGGACCCCACATATTTGACCAAGATTCCGAGTTTCAGAAAGCACCGCATCAGGTCTACTTGGGACAGGAAAAAAATCCTGGGTACCGAATGGGCCACCCAGAGATGATTAATCTAAAACTTTCTTCTTTTCTAGACTCCAAAGTGAAAGCAAATCCTTGGATATGTGCCTCACCGTCCCGCAGCCCCAAATTAACCCCGCAGAACCGCATACCCCAGACCCTCCAGCAGCCTCCGACCATGGAAGCTCCCGGAATCCCGGGCCAGCCTGGCAAGTGACTTTGCAAAGCCGCATTTCCACCTCCTTTCCCTACTGACCCCTCCAGAAGCACCAATCCCGACGTCAGGATGGGAAAAACTAAGTCGACGGAGCTCCTGCAACCTCGGCTACGCTAAGGACCTCGAGGGCCCCTTCCATACCTGAATGTAGTCAGCGAAAAGCTGTACCCGCGTTCCGCCATCTTTACCCGAAGAGCCGAAGAACATTCGCACACATGCGCACTGTAGTGGATTTTCTTTCATTTCCCCGCCCCTCTCCTTGAGGAGAGTCAGAGCTGCTTCAAGAGCATGCTGGGTATTGTAGTTCTAGGAGGGAGGCTTGCCCGATTCTGTAACTGTGCGCATGCTGAAAGCAGGGGCGGAACGGGCATCCCGGGGCCCGGGAGAGAAAGGGGCGGTCTTTCGGCGGGAAGATGGCGCTGGCCATGCTCTTGGTGGTGGTTCCGCCGTGGCCTGCCGCCCGGGGACTGCTTCGAAACCACTGGGAGCGACTACTGCGGAAGATTCCGCAGGGTTGGCCGGGCTTTCCTAGTCCTCCTTGGGGTAGGTAAAGAAGGGCTTCGTGGGAGAAGGGGCTGATGACGCGACCCCAGGCAGCGCGTAGCAGACGCAGCTCACACTCTTCGCCCTCAGCCCAGGTTCTGATCCGCGGCCGTACGTCGGGGACGTTGCTCCTGACATTCACATATTAGCGCGAACACAACGGCTGTTTTTGCCCTCCCTCCACCGCCAAAGAAAAGAAAAAATCCTCTGCGTGATCCATTCGCACACAGAGTGTAATCCAAGTTTGTGTCAAAGATAAATCACAGCCAGCCAGTAATTAAAGCGCTGAAAACAGATTTTGTTCAGTAACTACGGCTCAGCTTTAGGTAAGGAGCTGAGCTCCATCCCGGTTTGTGCAGAGGTGACTTGGGCAGGGAGAACGAGCGAGGCGGGAGTGTGGGGGCTCAGTAGAGTCAAAGTTAAGTGTAGCGCAGTGAAGTCCGTGCAGATGTGATTAGCCGGCTGTGTCTGCTAGCTCGCAGTTACGGAAGGGAGGATTCTGCCCTGCGGAGACTGGGAGACAGAGGCCCCATCCTTCCTAATTAGATTTCAAAGGAATGGCTCTCAGGGCCTTGAGAGAAACGCTTCCCAGTTAGCTGCAAAGGATACGTATTTACCACTAGAAGCCCTTTCTAGGAAATGCTGTAAGGGAGTTCAGGGACCTATTTTCAGGGATATGTTGGCTAAAATAAATTGGAAAATTTCCAGGCGGCGTTGAGTTTTCTCAGGCAGGCACTTTAAAGGGGGGCCGAGGTCATCCTAGGATACAGCCTTATGCTGCTAGAAACTATGCTAGAGTTTGGTCAGGTTTCTTGAGTTCAGGGATTTGTATAGAGTTGTCCAGAGAGGACAGTTATGCGGGTCTCACCTGGCATCAGAGCTCACCGCTCTCTGACTCTGTCTTGTCTTTTCTTTTTTTTTTTTTTTTTTTGAGACAGAGTTTTGCTCTTGTTGCCCAGGCTGGAGTGCAATGGCACGATCTTGGCTCACCGCAACTTCCGCCTCCTGGGTTCAGGCAATTCTCCTGCCTCAGCCTCCTGAGTAGCTGGGATTACAGGCACGCACCACCGTGCCCAGCTAATTTTTTGTATTTTTAGTAGAGACGGGGTTTCACCATGTTGACCAGGATGGTCTCGATCTCTTGACCTCGTGATACACCCACCTCGGCCTCCCAAAGTGCTGGGATTACAGGCGGGAGCCACCGCGTCCCTTCCCTTCTTCCCTCCCTCCCTCTCTCTCTTCCCTCGCTGTACCTGTTTTCTGTGGTGTTTGAGCTCTGAAGACACGAATTCTGTTTCCCTCAGAATTAATCTTAATTAGAAGTATCTTGAATGTTGAAACTGTTACTATTTTGGCATTTACATTCCACTCAATTTCTAAGCAGCCCAAAAGTGATAATACCCAAATATACCAAGAAAAGAGACACGACTATAGGCCAAGCAATGTGCCAAGCTTTCTGCATGTACTCCTGGGATCATCTTGACAACAGCCCCATCGGGTGTCTACACTTCCCAGCTGAGGCGGTAGGCTCACAATGGTCCCAAGTTCACAGTCCTGAGCCTGTGTTGTTAACCACCAGGCTATGCTTGGCAATAATTTTGGACATTGAAAAGCAATGCCAGTTGTTAAGTGTTAGAGAGCTTTGTGTATTTTTAAGAGTTCTTAAGATCAAAAGAAGTATGGCACGTTTAAGGAAGAGCAAAGAAAGGGTCAAGGAGTCTCTTGATTTTATAAGCAATTCAGAAAAAGAGAAACTTTGATAGTCACATAAATAAGGCCATAACAGAGAAATGATGAGCTGGCTGTTTTTTTAGAGAGCAGACAGGAATCAAGATTAAATATTATGAGGAACTAAGTGACTTAAGGGGTTGTATGATAAAGGGCCCGACTCAGTTTGAATAAAAGAAGGGGCCAATCAACAGTTACCTCAGTGCTGGTCAGAAGTATATTCAGGAAATCTGTCTAGATTTACCTGTAAATTAATCCAGAACTTACTGCCTACCAAGTATTAACAGATTGTGGAGAGTTGAGTGATTCTTTGCTTGTTTTGTTCAAGTTAAGGCCTATCGGAACCCTGTATTTTAGAGGTAAGGAACTTGATGGAATTTCACTGATCTCATTTCAGCAGGATCCACTAAGAAAAAAATCTGTGTTCCTTAAAATTGTATTGTATAAGCTTTAGTGTATTTTTTTTTTTTTTTTTTTTGAGGCGGAGTCTCGCTCTTGTTACCCAGGCTGGAGTGCAATGGTGCGATCTCGGCTCACCGCAACCTCCGCCTCCTGGGTTCAGGCAATTCTCCTGCCTCAGCCTCCTGAGTAGCTGGGATTACAGGCATGCGCCACCATGCCCAGCTAATTTTTTGTACTCTTTTAGTAGAGACGGGGTTTCACCATGTCAACCAGGATGGTCTTGATCTCTTGACCTCGTGATCCACCCGCCTTGGCCTCCTGAAGTGCTGGGATTACAGGCGTGAGCCACCGCGCCCTGGCTGCTTTAGTGAATTTTTAATAGCTAAGGTTTCCTGTTATTGAGTTTCACATTCTAAATTTCATATGTCATCATTGTGTGTGTGCGTGTGTGTATGTTTGACCATTGATTGTTAAGGAAAATGATATCTGTAAATAGAAATTTAGAAGCTAGAAACCGATTCTGTATCTCTTACATTTTATTTCCTAGGACCAGCATTAGCAGTACAGGGCCCAGTCATATTTACAGAGCCAGCAAATGATACCAGTGGAAGTAAAGAGAATTCTGGCCTTTTAGATAGTATCTTTTGGATGGCAGCTCCCAAAAACAGACGCACCATTGAAGTTAACCGGTGTAGGAGAAGAAACCCTAAGAAGCTTATTAAAGTTAAGGTAATGCATTGATTCTTGTGGGTATGCTTTTCCTCAAGTCCTCCATTGAATAAGCTCATGGTAGATTCCTATAGCCTAGGAATAAATTATTCTCAGATCATCTGTGTCTGCTTTCCTCTGGCCTAAATGAAATGCAATATTCTCATTATGTATGCCGGCTGTTTTCTAGCCTAAATGTTAGAAACACAGTCAAGGAAGGTGTGAGTTTGGAGACTGGACAAGGAATGAGGCTGTGAAGTGCCTATGTGACTTGAATTGTGAACTGTGTCGGTCTTGAGCTGTGAGTTTTGAACTACAGATAGTAAACATCCTAACTATGCAGAGCCTAGAGTTAAAGCTCGAAGCAGTAGGTATATTGACTCTTGGGTTTTACAAACACTTACATAATTATTTTTTAATTGTTTCCAAAAAAAAAACTGTGAAGGAAAACCCGAAGATAAGTAATAAAATAGCTATCCTCTATTAAGAGTCTATGATGTATCTCAGTGCCTTATGTTTATTGTATCTCTGTCTTCACAATAGCCCTCCAAAGCAAATATGAATGCTTCATTTTAGGATGAAGGAACTGCGGCAAAAAGAATTTGCCTGTGGTCACACAGCTATTAAGCAGTAGGTTTTTGAGCTCATGTTCTTTTGAAATTTTTTTGTGTTCTCCTGTCTTCAGACAATTCCACATTCTCCTCTCTGACAACATGGATGTACTGGCTTCATTGATCTAGTAAAAAGAAAAATGACAGTGTGAATTATCTCTGATCTGTTATTGGATGGCTTTAACAGTGCTATCCATTGGCACTGTTGAATCTCAGGATGAAACTCCAGAACAGAAAACTGACTTTCATAAGGTTCCACATTGTTAGGCAAAAACGTTAGAACTTAAGCCAAAAAGTATTATAGAGTACCATGTTTGGGTCGAACTTAAATGTAGATAATAAAAACACTTTATTTCTTAAGACTTACAATAACTCATAACTTTGCTCAAGAGGACTTAGGGTTTTAGGAATGAGATCTTGCCCTGATCTGTTATGTGACTTCCCTGATTGCATTTATTCTGAGGGCATAGTTCTTATCCTGTGCATTTGTTTTCTTCCTTGAGTGATTTTCTGTAACTCAGTGTATACTGTGTAACATAGAGTATGCTCTATAACAACATACAGTGTATTATGTTGGGTACTTGATCATGAAAAGAAGACCACCTGACCGTCGGCGCCTTCATGCCTTCTGTTGTACGTGCAGTCCCGTTTCCAGTAGAGTGGAGTAAAATGAGAACATGGTTAAGCGAGGAAAAGTGGCAGGCCTCTTTCTTCCTTTCGGAAAGCGAATTCTTCCGTTATCTGCCTTACAGATGCTGGTACATTAATCTTGTCAAGTGTTTAAAGATTCTTTGATGTTCCTGTTTACTATTTTTGTATTCCCTGTCAAACCTGCAGTTGATAAGTCTTTTAGAGGTTATAATTACTCTATTTTATAGTTAAAGTTAGATAGATACATATAAAAACTCATCCAAAATCCCCTTAAAATGTAACATATAAAATATTTTACATTAAGGAATAGTCAGTGTTCATTTTTAAAAATAAAAATTGTACCATATGCCTAACCTGTATTCTATACAGGAATTTGAATTACACTGACAAAAAGGGGAAGCTGAGAAAGTCAACTTGTAAGGTTCTTATCATCTTGTTTTCCCTAAGGTAGATTGAAAGATAAAGGGAAGTCAATTTTCTTTGGTGTCTTATTTAAGATGCTGATTGTATGGGTCATTTCATTATGTTGGTGAACTCCTTATTTGGTATTTAGTATTTGGAGTTAGAGGAAATGAGGTTTTTTTGTGTTCTTTGTTTTTACATAACAGCTGCTATGTTTAAGTAAAAATGTATCAGATTCAAGTTGATTGAATTCTAGTTCGAGTTTTTCACTAATTCAAACTCAGTGTTGCTTGTCTTCAGTGTTCCGTTAAAGTGAGGTGGAACTAGATGGTGTATGATGACCCTGTAGCCTGAACATTCTGAGAAAGTTAAAATAGAAGCATTGCTCCCGTCAGTGATTATTTGTTCATTATCTTGCCTCTTGTTAAACCATGTTTTTGTTTGTTGTTTTAAAGAACAATATAGACGTTTGTCCTGAATGTGGTCACCTGAAACTGAAACATGTCCTTTGTGGCTACTGCTATGAGAAGGTGTGCAAGGAGACTGCAGAAATCAGACGACAGATAGGGAAACAAGAAGGGGGCCCTTTTAAGGCTCCCACCATAGAGACTGTGGTGCTGTACTCGGGAGAGACGCCATCTGAACAAGATCAGGGCAAGAGGATCATTGAACGCGACAGAAAGCGACCGTCCTGGTTCAGCCAGAATTGACACCAAAGATGTTAAAATGATAACTTCACAGTAATCATTTCTCCTGAAATAGAGAAAGATTATTTATGTTGTTGTGCCTGTTTTTAAATCATCAATATAGTTTAACACATTCTTTCTAAGCAGTTTTGTGTGGGATAATTTGAAGAATATATTATGAGTAAACTCTGAAAATGTTTATCCAAAGGCTCAATGGATTATGTTTCTATGACATGCAAGGTTTTAAGTAAACATAAAATTTCCAGAACAAAAATAAATTTAAAATTCATAGCAAGAATTCTGTGTTTCGGCTTTGATTTTGTTTGTTTGCCAGTGCTTTTTCTTAGACAAGAATACTTAACACAGATAACTATTTAAGTAACACCTGGAAATGGGCTATTATTTGCATTTTTAGTGTTTTTTTTAAGATGCTGCTTATGGCAGTAAGAAAAGGTTTTGTACTTTTTTTTGTCTTAGCAAATTCAAATTGCTTTTGGAGGAAGTTACTTTTCTGGAACACATGATACTGATTTACTTAGGCGCTGGAAGTACTTCTTTACATTTAATCAGAATCATATTCAGAATATATTAGATACAGGCTCTTTAACTTCACTTTCTGCAGTTCATTTCTTATTTCTTCTACTTCTCTGTGTCCACCTTGAGCCCAAGGTTTGCTATTTTGTTTTCTGCCTCATTCAAAATGGAAGGAAAAAGTGAGGGTAAGCTATTTAAAACACATAGTAATAAGCAACTTAGGTTAATTACAGTTAAAGGGAACATTGGTAGACAAGATAAAGCCCAGGAAAGTACAGCAAATACATGTTGCAATAACCGAACACATATTATATTAGGTAACATGTTTAACTCTGAACTTTTTTTTTTTTTGATACGGAGTCTCGCTCTGTCACCCAGGCTAGAGTGCAATGGAGCATTCTTGGCTCACTGCAACCTCCACCTCCCAGGTTCAAGAGAGTCTCCTGCCCTCAGCTTCCAAACTAGCTGGGATTAAAGGCACCCACTACCTTGCCCAGCTAATTTTTATATTTTTAGTAGAGACAGGGTTTCACCATGTTAGCTGGGCTGGTCTCCCAACTCCTGACCTCAGGTGATCTGCCCACCTTGGCCTTCCAAGCGCCAGATTATCGGCTGAACTTTTTTTCTTTGGAAAGAAGGAAGCTTCACTTGCATAGATCAGTCTTCACAAAGTCAGACATAATCTAGAAGATGCATTACTATCTTGGCACTAAGGCCTGAAGAGTATTTCTTTCATGGGAGTTCATAAAAATTGTGTAACGGTGCAGTCTATGTTAACATTCCTAGAGGTAAAATCACCAGTTTCATTGGGTACAGTATAAGTCAATGATATGTTGAAGTGCAATTCAGTAAAAGCAAATCTTTAAAATTTCCAAAGTGTTGGAATCCCAGAAAATAGCTCTGTCAAGACTGGGCTTAATCCAAGCATTAAGCATTATGCTATGGATATGAAATTCCACAGGAAGTGGTTATCTGCATATTATTAAGAATCCTCTACAGATAATTATTTTTAACTGAGAAGTCATACACATGCTATGTGTCAAAGATATACTTGAGGTGGAATCAATGGTTCGTGGACACAGGGTTGAATATATTCAACTGCCCACTCAGTATCCTCAGCTGACTAATAGGTTGCAAAGTGTATCTCCAGGTAACAAATTGTCCTTTCATAGTATGGACTGAATGTATTCCCCCAAAATTCATATATTGGTCGGGCTGCTATGGGTATGAGAGAAAAAAAGTCTTATGTTGAAAGCCCAACCTCCAATGATGGTATTAGGAAGTGAGGCCTTTGAAGGGTAATTAGGGAATAAGGGTAGACCCCTTATGAATAAGACTGATGCTCTTAGAAGAAGACACACAGGAGTTTGTTCTCTCTGCTCTCTGCCATGCGAGGTTCGAAGGAGACCACCTGCGAGTCAGGAAGCAGGTCTTCGCTAGAAGCAAATCTGCTGGCACCTTGATCTTGGACTTTCCAGCTTCTAGAACTGTGAGATAAATCATTTAAGACACCCTGTTTGTTAATTTCTTAACAGGCGCTTGAGCTAAGACAGAAGGCTGTCTGTGCAGGTGACCTAGTGAGAGTATGTGGGCAGAGTTACTGTTTTCTGTTTTCAATACATGAACAGAGAAACTTACTAAAAAATGCATCCCCAAATGAGGCAATTATTAGATAGCAAAACCAGATGTCTAGCTCATGTCAGAAAACCATGTCATAAAGGAGACTTTAGGAAGGGGTTGTCCCCTCAAAGTCTTCTTTAGAATGTATTCTATCACTTCATGCCTCCGGCTTTCACTATGGCAGAAAATCTTAGGAGTTTGAATTAAAGCATTTATGTCAGGGATTCATGTTTTGAATAATAAATTAAGTCCCGTGTCCCTATTTATTCCCTACAACATGAAGATACTGAGATGTTTTACTAGGTTATTTTGGAAGGAGTCATCCTTGACTCTGACATCTCACCTTTTCTCCCTTTCACATCCAACCTATGAGCAAATCCACAAATCCCACTGGTTCTACCTTCAATATATACTTAGAATCTGACCATTTAACGTGAAGTTTTATGCATACATATTTTTTCTTAGAAATCAAAAATAGTTTTGGTGCACTATGGATGATGACCCCAGTTTATGTAAATTGTGATCTTTTTAAAATATGATTTTTTTCCTAAGTTGTGTGGTGTGACTTTTAAGTTAAAAATCTATTATTTAAAGAAGTACAGGCCAGGCGTAGTGGCTCATGCCTGTAATCTCAGCAGTTTGGGAGGCCGAGGTAGGTGGATCACGAGGTCAAGAGATCAAGCTCATCCTGGCTAACATGGTGAAACCCCATCTTTACTAAAAATACAAAAATTAGCTGAGCATAGTGGTGTGCACCTGTAGTCCCAGCTACTAGGGAGGCTGTAGCAGGAGAATCACTTGAGCCCAGGAGGCAGAGGTTGCAGTGAGCCTGGATCGTGCCACTGCACTTCAGCCTGGCAACAGAGTGAGACTCCATCTCAAAAAAAAAAAAAAAGTACATGAGTAGGGGCCTTTGTAACATTGGTGATATGGGATTGCCCTCCCGCTCTCCTCAGAGAATTGTTTTGTACACCTACCTCCACCCTCCTTATACAATTATGTTTCAGGGGCAAGATTTGCCCCTCAATTTTTCCAAACCTGTACTAAGGAATTCTGCTGTCTATGATTAGCGTTTTTCTGGCAAATATACGAACATAGATGCTCTGTCTTCAGCTGCAACTCTTACGGAGCAATTTCATTCCATGGTCTAGATTAGTGAATAATATTTCCATCTTGCCTTTGTAAACAGGATGGTGTCGCTTCCAGCTGCTGTCCTCCCGATTTTTCAGCAAAGGGCATCCGGAAGAGCAGCACCTAAGGCGGATGGAGAGCTTGTTCCCTGGTGCTCAGGGGAACGTCCTGGGCCTCTCTTTACCTTACTGACAACACTCCTTCCACGATCATGCCTTTGTGTGACCCTGCCCCTGTGTTCCTCTGCTGGCCCTGGTGACTGACTGTGTGCTCACCTCCTCCACATTTGTGGAGTCGCTAGTGAGCATTAGGGATGCCATTTTGAGGAAGGACAGGAGGAAAGTTAGAGGGTTAACAAGTTCCAGTCCCTGGGCCCTAGTGTTGAAGCTCAGAGCCAGCTTGACAGTTTCAGCCTTTAAACTCACGGCAGAACTACTACAATTTACTAGGCATCACCAAGCGGCTCCACTAGGGGGCAGCAGGTGAATTGCACTGAAATTCTCAAATGAAATAATAAACCATCAGGTCCAGCAATGCTGGGGATATCGTGTTTCTGCCAAAGCCATCAGCCTGTGGCTAGAGGACAGGATTACTGCAGGGAGAGAAAAGGCTGTCTCCAACGCTGAGTGAAGGTTACGGGCTGCCAACAAAACTGAGCCTGCTCTCACTGTGTCCAGGGCTTCTCTTCCTCCGCCCTGGGTCAGTTTTGCTCTCCGCCAATATGCCCTTCTTGACCCTCTTCTTTTCCAACCCTACATCCTTGGGTACATGCAGAGAGCTTAATTCTAAATGCTTTCCAAGACAATTTTTCAGGATAAAAGCGCTGAATGCTACCGCTATGTAGCTCTTTCTCCAATATTCCCCAATATTAAATTTTGCTGACTAAAAAGAAGTACTGATTTTCTCACCTACATTTTTCTAATCAGTAGTTCTCAACCAGTGGTGATCCCCTTCCCACCCCAGGGGACATTTGGCAATGCCTACAGACATTTTTGGTTGTCGGACTGGGGTAGGGGATGGGGAATGGTGAGCACTACCGGCTTCCAGTGGCTAGAAGCCAAGGACAATGCTCATTATTTCCCTCTATCAGACTCAATAAAATTACTTTTTTTAAAGTGACATAAAAACATTGTATTTCTGGAAGTGTCACTAAGCCATCTTATTTTCTTCCATAATTTAAGCACTCGTGATGACCCTCAGGTCTATGTATCTAGGTCTCATTTTTCCACTAATCTCGAGACCCATGTTTCCAAATAATACAAGGTTTCCATTAGAATGTCACATAAATCTCAAACACATCATAACATAACAACTTTTCCAAATCTCTCCCTATAAATTTGCTTTGCTGGTAGCCTGGCTTGGTTTGCTTATTCATTCAACAAATATGTCTAACATTTCTTTCCAACCATAGCACACTTCTGATTGACTAATGGACATTTCCGGGTAAGCACATTGAAAACAACTGCTGAGCACCCCATTCCTTACCCCACTAGCCAAGCTTGTACCTCTTCCAAACTTTCCCACCTTGACAAAAATCAAGTTGCTCCAGCAAAATCCTACTCATTCTCGATTTCTCTCTTCTCATCCTACATAAGCAACTCCTTTGACTCTACCCCCATAACATATCCTGAGTCCCAAGTGGCATTGAGTTTGCAGTGACAGGAAGGGGTGCCAGTGTAAGAAGAATGTGCTGGAAAGGAGCAAGAATGGATCTAGGGAGACAGGCTAAGGGTCTCTGGAAGAAATCTAGGCTGGAGATGATGTAGCCCAGACCAGAATGGTGGCCAAGGACAGAAAGAACTAGAGGAAATAGAGATGTATATTCCAGAAGTGGAATTGATGATGCCTTGGTTGTAGAAATGCAAGCGAGAGGGAAACTCGATAATTCCCTGGTTTCTAGCTTGAGTAACAGAGGATGTGATTAGGGAGCCTGTGAGAGGTGAGGGCAGATTATGCAGGAAACTCAAGAGACCCATTTTCAATAAGCTACATTTGAAATACTTATTGGACATC